TAGTTGTCCTTTGGTACTTCAGTTTGGATACAAAATGGTGTAAACTTGATGGAAGAATAGGGAAATGGAAGAACAAAAAAATTAGAACTCAATGAGCATAGCAAAGGAGAAGTATTGGAAAATCATGCACATAAAAGCTAGCTCACTTTGTCGGTATTTACTATACAGCTTCTTCTCTGGATCTGTATCCTCTTTTTTAAGAGAAATAGTAATCTGCAAACAGTGAGACAGGGACAATGTATAGTAAAATAAAAAGAAACAGAAGTCACAGAGACTGATGGCACATCAAGAAAATGAAATTAATAATTAACCATTAAAATATTAATACTAAATAGCAAAGGATCCATTTCTGAAAGATCTGAAATTTTAGGGCAGTCAGCAAGAAACTGAAGGACCAACAGGAAATCACTGTTGAATGACTAGCCACTGAGCCTTAATAATCCCACAACATGCTAGGTAACATTCCATAGTTTGACACGTACAATCTTCTAGAATCATCATCTGCAAACAGGTATACTGCAAGTACGACATTCATTCACAAAACGAATATCAGATTTGACCAATATTTGGAAAAGATGCAGCAAGTTACCATATTAAAAAAAAAAAAAAAAAAACTACATTTGAAAAATAAATGAGAAGTTTAAGGGGAAAAAATTAGAATAACAACTCAGAAGGTTTAAAGATGTCACAGAACAATAAGCAGATGGTAATGACTGTACCTCAGGCTTTAAAAAAGCCAGCTCCCTAATCCGTCCAGCTATAGTGCTGTAATCAAACTGAATTGCAGTGGTGAATACTGCAGAAAAGCTCATAGTTAGACAAAGACTATGAAAACCCCTAAATGCAATTATTGCTACAAATTGAATCAATAGAATCATCAAAAGCATGCCGGGTTTGAGAATCGAGACTAGTTTTGTCAGGCCAAAACTTAATGTGTGTCCCTCGGCGGTCTTTTGATTCATCAGGACGCTCATGACACATTAAAGTTGAAAGAGGCTTTCCACAGGAATATTTTTGCTGGTATTCCATTCCATCACGCCAAACTGTAACTTCTAATGCCTGCAAACCAATACACGTCAGAAACAAATGATTCGATCCTAAGTCGATTGGTGCTCACAAACTGTAAAATGTATATAAAAAACAACAAAAAAGAGACAAAAAATATGAAAGAACAGAGTGCGCACCAGCAAGCAAAATGTAGAATATAGCACTTACTGTTGGTGTGATGGCCAAGGGAGACACAATTAACACATCCCACCCTGGGCCAGAGTAGTTAAGCTATTATGAAGAGTGAGTTGGAGCATAACCTGTGGTCCAAGGAATTTGGGGATTATCGTGCAAGCCTAAGAGATGTCATTCATTTTGTAAAGTAATGTGACTGACACCAGAATAAATGAGTCTCAATACTTCTACGACCCAGGAGCCACCAAACTGAAAGTCACAGAACAGGAAAGTAAGACAAAGGGTCATTCTGAGTTGAATTTCAAGCATTAGCTAGGCCTGAAAAATGGTATCATATCTACTACTGCAAATGAAACACAGATACACCATCCCTCCTACTCATAAAACAATCCATTAAAACAACCTCTTTAGCCCTACCCATCAATCTGCCTATAACATCAACCACTAAGGTAAACAGTAAGGGTGAGAAAGGGTAACCCTTTCTCAGCATTGATGTATAAAGCTCATTTCATCATTACTTGAAACTTGAAATGAAGGCCATCATTTAAATGTTTCTACTCCAGTGCAGGGATACATAAGTGGAGACCCGAAGTTAATTGACACCAATATATATATATATATATAACATCATCAAAATTATAGTAAACTAAAGCCTACTCCATGCCAAAAGGAACTCAAAGGCCCACCAAAACCAACAACATTAAAACAAAAGAGAAAACCATGAATATATATACATATCTCAACGAGCTTGAAGTGAATGGCCAAATAAAGTTATAAGAAAAGAAAGTAGAACCTCATATAATGCATTAACAACAGATAAGCCTACACCATGTAGTCCCCCTGAGACACTGTAACCACTACTTGAACCACCAAATTTCCCGCCAGCATGTAAAACCTGCACAATTTAATCGGCATACATTATTCACACAATCTTTATACAATTAGAAAGATCGTCTCCATCAGCCATGTCAGCTATCAGATATATGTATGTTGTAACATGTGTACATACATAAAAGCACATATAACTGCAATCTTTTCTTATACATAACACGTACTTGAAGATTGATGTGTCCACACTGCATTGCATCTTATTTTAAGGATTTCCTACAACCGCATGCCAGTAAGAAAATGAACAGCTGCTCTATTAATTAAAAAACACTGTTTTTAAATGTTCTTTGCAAATCTCCCATCAAGAAAACAGAAGTCCATTACAGTGCCGACTAATAATACTATTTTAGGTTAGGAACTTTGGACAGAACAACTGTATATCTAAATGACCTCAAAAGTAATAGCAACTAGATGGTTGTTTTGCTTCACAAATTGTGTGCACTTTAGGAAACAATATAACATGCTCAAAATTTTGTGCAAACATATAGTAAAAAGAATCAAAGTGGCCCCTAGAGAACTATTCCAGGTGAAATTCCATCTTGATCCCATAGCCACGCAGTCTACTTAGAACGTTAAAATGGAATTGGTAATTTATGCAACAATACCGTCAAGACAGTTTCCAAAGAAGATTTTTTTTGTCACTGGATGCAAGTCGATTGGAATCTGCGATGCACAAGTGAAACATGGAAGTAAATGAAAAGTTGCAATAGCACATGAATGTTAGCTTAAAAGAATTGACTCCAAGCAAAATCTAACAACATAAAGTAATTGCAAAGTAGTATTTTGATATAACCTATTTTTTGTAAGTCAATAGAAATTACATAACCAGTTCATTTCAAAATCATAATAAGTATCAGCTATGAACATCGTGAATCAAAAATATCATAAGGTCATGTTTGTTTGGATGGACTGGATTAGTATTCCCATGACCAATAGTCCTAGGACTACGAATCCCTTTGGATTGTATATCATATCCTATGTTTGGATTGAATTAGGATTTTAAGGAGGGACTAATAGTCTATACTTTGGCTTAGTTCTCCAATTTATATCCCATCCCCTTTGTGGGATTAATAGTCCATCATATGTGAGATACCATATCCGGATGGATTGTTTGTCCGTACTTCAATTGTTTAACCAAACATCGGATTAATAATTTTATTAGACTATTAGTAAAATCCCAAGCTCGTGTCCACCCAAACAAACATGGCTTAAAAGTAAAAAAAAAAAATATATATATATATATATATAAATATATAGAAAAGGCAGCAACCACCCCTATAAGACATCTATGGTTATTATCTGTTATAGTTTTGTGTTTTGTTTAATTGTTTGAAGGGTATTTATGTGCTTGGGGCAACTCTATCTAATACAAGTACATGTATCCCAAGGGAGAGAACCCTAAATTTTTGGTCTCTGTCAATTCAATGAAACCGATGAACCACACAAGCTGATTAGATGCATTGGGGCAGAGAGCTCATTAACCGCATATGGGCTCTTTTCTTCTTCTTGTTACATTTAACTTGGTATCATGGTGTCATTCTCCTATATTCTCGTATTGTGAACTGAAAGGATTGGTATTCTTCATTTACAATTGATATGTAAAAAATATATATATATTAATAATAATAAATAAATACAGCAGCATGATTGACTTGACGAGTAGTGTTCACCGATAAATTTTTCAAAATTTTCCAAGTCCATGTGATATATTTTTTCTATTTCTTTGACGTTCGAAAAAATATGGCCTATTTTTCTAAGATCTTCAATCAACCTTGGTTTTGATCAAATGAATGCTTGTGAATTCTCTTCTATGGTTGTTGACCACACCGTTGGGAACGTTACGCAACCTTATTTTTCAGTTGCAGAAGGTTTTTCAGGCTCCAAGGAGGTCCAGCTAGGGTGTTTTGAATACAATGAGTTTTTTCCTCTAGTTTTCTAGAGTTGTTGGTTTATCTGAGTTGGTTTTGACACTATTTAAGTTTTCTTATGGTTGAGTTTTGTCAGCTTTGTGGGCATTCCTTGAGATTTTCTGGGTTTGTGAGACATATTGAGGAAAATGGTAGCATATTGAAGACGGTCAAGTAAAATGATCGCACAACAATGTGCAAAGAGCAAAATTGAGAACCAACCAAACTAATAAATAACCAAGCAAACCAAACTAACTCCTCCCTTCAAGTTAAAGGTGTAATTTGGGTGGACTAAAGTAATAAAAAATTTTAATTTAATATTTGTATAGGTCTGAATGCTTATTATACTCATATTTGTAATTTTATATATATATATATATATTTTTTTTATTTTCAAAAAATGCAATGGTCAATTAAAGACATTTTTGTGTGTGTTTGAATTTGGGTAACCAATCCTACTCAAATTATCTGGGATAAATTTGAGCTTAAATTTGGACAAGTCGGTCGAGACAAATCCCTTAGTCTGAAGAGATCCTCAAATTGACCAAACCTGGCCAAGTTGCAGTGCAACTTCAAGCTAGTATTTATAATATTTGTTGGGGGGTTTTGGGTGAAAAGGCTTTCGTAGTAAGTTTTTGTTGCCAACTCTTAACAAACAACACAGATTTTGCTTCAAAGGACACTTGCTTGCACTATGAATATAGTCAGTTCTCTCCGAGGAGCTATACTTTCGGGATAAACATGAATAATAAATAAGATTGGAAAACTTAATAATTTTCAAGACTTGTACATGATAATGATGACAATGGAAGCTCATAGAAATAGAACATAAGAGTCTTGGACTTGTCATGCTGATATAATCTGATACGTAAACGATAAAAGTTGATTATCGCAAATATTAACACATATATTTTGATACCCGTTGCTTAAAAACCATGAGGCAGACTCTCATTTGGCCATTTTCATTTCTTCATATTGTTAGGAGTTGAACTTGTTATGGGTATCTCGAATTTAATCTGACAATCTTAAAAATTCAACAAAATTATCGTTTTGCTAATAAACGTCCAAATTGCTGCATAAACTTCCTACTAATCACCATTCCATCACAAAGTGTACTTTGCTTGGACAGTACTCCCAACTATGTATTTTTTAGAATTCTTTTCTTGCAAAACTAATATCTCCTTTATTCTCCTCCTTTTTATAAACAGAATTGCTTGACAACCTTTACTTTGCTCTCAAGACTCCTATAATTAGCAATTCATTCTTTTCCTATCCACATGAAACTCAAAAAAGTTTCAGAGTTCCATTTCCAAAAATGGCAATCTCACCAACCAACAGCTTCACAGCTCCTCCTCCCATCATCAGTCGCTCCCGAGCTTTCAAGCTTACATCAGATTGCAATTCATCAGAGTCATCCACACTCCTCTGCAATTTTCTCAGACAGGAAGGCGTGCAATCGATAGATGCGCGAGGCAACACTCTCCTCCATTTTCTCGCCATGTACGGCAATTTATCCGCCTTCCAGATGCTTCTTGGGGATGGTATACTAACCAATGAAGACCTTGCAATAGGTAAATGTTAAATCGTTATTAACTCACCTAAAAATTTAAGTTTAATTTTTTTCAACAGTTTTGGCATCTCTTTTACTTTGATCATCTATTCTGTTTATTTTCTTTTAAATTTTAGTATGTAGATCATCTATCAAAAAATACAAAATAAAAAATAAAAAATCAGATTAATCTATTAACCATAACCATATAATCGCGTTGTCTTTATAAGGACAACAAAAATTATATCCTATTATTATTAGATCAATTTTGAATTTTTTTTTTGGATAGAAATTCTACACAATCGAATGGCCTAATAACAAGCTGAAAAGCAGATGATCAGAAATGACAAATCCAAAATACCTCTCCTCAAACTTTTAAGTAATCATTTTTTTTTCAATTCTTCAACTTATTTAAACTAATTTTTTTAATTAAAAAAAAAAAACTCCATAAACTGTACCAAATAATTTTATTGGTTGCCCCCACAGACTAAACTCAACGGTCCGATCCACTCGTTGGAGAAAAGCTAAGTTATTTAATTGTCGAGTAGATATTGAGGTTTAAATTTCTAATTATAAAATTTATTATATGTTCTAATATCATATTAACTATTAACTCATTGAAAAATCTTAACTACTAGAGCGAAGGATAACTTTATTATTTATTTTCACTTCACTAGGAAATAAAAAAGGTGACACGGCGCTGCATGAGGCTGCGAAGTTCGGTCAGAAAGAAATTGTGGAGGTGCTGTTGGAGTATGAGAGAGATTTGGTTATGGTGAGCAATAATTTAGAAGAGACTCCTCTATTCACTGCGGCTTCGTGTGGAAAGAAGGATGTTTTCGATCTTCTCATCAAAGATGGAAGAATTCACAGTGATCATTATGTGATGGCGAGAACTGATGGTTCCACTGTTCTTCATGCTGCTATCATGGGAGAATATTTTAGTGAGCTCACTTTTCTTTCTTTTCAATGAATTCAAAATATTTTTCAATTGGTGCTTTCCTCGATACTTTTATCGAATAATACCACTTATCCTAGTGAGTTTTACGAACTTACTAGACCAGAAGTTTCTCAAACTCAAACATTTACTTTTCTAGTTAGAGATTGTTGGTATTATCATTTATATCTAGTACCATGAGTGAATCGAAAGTTGAATTTACATTGAATTTATAAGTTCATCATCCCACATAGTTGTTCATGTATGAGTAGAAGATTTGGCCACTCAAAACTAGTACTCATTGATTTATTCAAAAAAATAATGTCGGATTGTGATTTTACTTTGTATGAGACCACTTACACTTATAATGAATTTGTATTTTTTTGTGCATAAATTCTGAAAATCTAGCAATTCTCTTATTTTTTGAATTTTACGTGAAGCACTGACAAAACCAAAATGATCAAATACGCACATGATTCAAACTTTTAAAATATGCATTTTTTATTTTTTGCATTTTCTTCATTAATCTTTTTTTGGTAAAATGCCAAAAATACCCCTCCTATTGTTGATTTTGAACAGTGCTACTAACACTAGGGATTAAAATGTAACAAACTGTATATTTGAGAGACTATTTGTATAATTAACTCTTTATTTATGTAAAGGCAAACTACTAACTAGATAACTAAATAATTGAATTTAATATATATATATTTTTTGTGTGAACTAGGTCTTGCTATGAGCATCTTGGAAACATTCCCTAAACTTGCTCACAAGTATGATAGCAAAGGAAGGACTCCCTTGGATTTGCTGGCTACAAAACCCTTGTCCTTTAACAGTGGCTCTTCTTATTCCCTGGTCAATTTGGGCAGTAGGCCTTTCATTCCCCTCCAGCTTATTGCAATTTTTGTATACTTTTGTAAGTCCTACCATTACTGTTTATTAATAGTCTTTTCCATAGATAAAGAAATCGCAATGCATATTTAATGAGATAGATTGTTTATCTCTCAACTATCCAACAAAAATGAGTCACTGTCTCCTACTTGTAAAATTTTTTGCTCCATGATTTGATTTGAAAAATACGTGGAGACTAAGAAGTATGGACACTTCTAAAAAGGTAGCATGTCGTGTTTGATATAGATATGACACTCGTTGGACACTTTCCAACACTTAGACACATAAAATATATTACAAGTTTAAATAAAATAACTTGAAATTCTATGATAAAATAAAAACAATATAAATTTATACTTATTTTCCTCCTTTAGACTTTAAAATTATTATTTTGATTTAAATATTCACATATATATATATATATATATGATATATAATTATTTCTGTAACATAGTATAAATATATGAAATTATATATTTTACGCGTGTCTTCCACATGTCTTGTCCTACATTTTTTTTAAAATTATGTGTCGATATATCCATGTCATGTTATGTCCATATTCGTATCATGTTGTGTCACGTATCTATGCTTTCCTAGCTCAGAGAGTACTCCATCAAAAAAAATTTTAGATGGTGTCTTTGTTTATTATCAAGTAGGTATTCCATCGATGGTTTATGGGTGGAAACATGCTGGTGATGAGGAAAATCAACATCAAAATGGACATAATATCTCCAACTTTGAGCATTTTGCAACAAAATTAATCCCAGGTTTGATTTTTGTTTTGTTTGTTTTTTACTACGAAAAATAAAAAAAAAAAATTCACTCTATGCCCAGTTTTTTCATCTCCCACGTTGAATATGAAATTTATCTTGTTGATCCACGTAAACAAGAACTAAAAAAAAAAAAGAATGAAATTCATTGGCGATACATATAGTAATCAATAAATGTGGCTTTACAAGTCATTTATATATGATTACATATATGTTGCATTTTCAAGAGGAGTTTGTTTTTTTAATCCCTAGCTTATTTTTCTATTTTCACCTTTGTTTTTCTTTCACCTAATTAGTTATTTCTTACCACAGGGTTCAGATTTAGAAGGATTCTCAGAGGTTGGTTGCTTTTACCCTTTAATTATGATAAAATTATTATATGATCTTTACTCTTACCCCATTTTATGTGCGCCCTGGATTTATTATGCCATTTGCTCAAAAACACCAAATTACTTATTTGAGTTAGAAAGTCTATTAGTATTTTAATAATAATTGATCTCTTATAAACTTGTTACTATGATTATAGATAGGGACTTGTTTCTCTCCTTATTATTCTTTCTCTTCTTTCTCCAAGTTTGTGCTTGGCTTAGAGAAATTGATGATGCAAAGCAAAAACATGAATTTGCACTCGCACTGGCAAAAAAGCTGGTAAATGAAGAGAATGATTGGAGTCATTACTCAGAAGGCAAATGCTTAGATTCCACTTCAAAAAACTCAGACAAGAAGACAAAGTTAAAGAACCCAATTGTTCACGCAATGGAAAATGGCATCATTGAGTTGGTTAAGGAGATTTTAGAAATATTCCCAGATGCTGCATATAGCTTTGACAAGAATGGAAAGAACATACTGCACATAGCTGTTGAGCAGAAAGACAGAGTTCTATATGATTACTTGAAGAAAAATGTTGATCACAAGAATGGGATGTTGTCGGATGTTGATAATGATGGGAACACTGTATTGCATCTGGCAACCAACGTGGGAACCAGTCCTAAAGTTGTTCTTGGAGACTTGAACCAGATGACGTGGGATGTATGTTGGTTTAAGGTACGATTAAATGTATTTAGTTTACCAGATAAATTTCATCATTTTTATTATTATTTTAGGCAAACTCTCCATTATAAATTTTTGTTTCTAAAAGGTGTCGAGCTCTTAAAAGTACCCCTTGCACATGCAGTTCCTCATTCAACACAAACTAGATAACTTTTTAATAATGCACACCTTATAGTACCCTAGCAAATCGACACCAATAATAAGGAACCAAATCCTATGCCGTTTTTTGTCTTGTCTCTCTGTCCCAAAGCCCCTCTACTATATAGGATTAGAGTCAAAGAGAGATAAATCGCATGGAAGAGAAAAATTTAGGAGGGGATAGAAGAAAGTGAGATGAGAGGCTCCTCAGCCCAATAATAAGAATGGGAAAATCTTAGTTGTTGTATGAGAACACTTCCTAGTAACTCATTGTTCAACAGTTCAACTGTTGAAAAGTTTAGGGCCATCATAATTGGACATGTTACTGGAGAGAAGCCAACCCCTAGTAATATAATGGAAAAATTACATCCTTGGGCCCTAACCAAAACTTCAAACTAATATATATTCGGTTTACAGCCAGTGTACCCTAGCAAATCAATTCCAATAACAAGGAACTGTATCTTTTGTTCCACTATCCTTTGTAACTTTGTCCCCAAAGCCCCTCATTGATCATGATTAAAGTTAAAGAGATATATTGTATGGTAGAGAAAATATTTGGGATAAAAAAACAAAAGATAGTATGATAGAGGGTCCTCAGTCCCATACTAAGAATGGGAAAATACTAGTTGTAATAAGGGAACAATGTCTTTCCACTAACTTGATGTTCAATTGTGAAGGAAGTTGGGGCCCATCACAATTGCACGTGTTGTTACTAGAGAGAAGCCAACCCCTAGTAATATAATGAAGAAGTTGCATCCTTAAGTTGTAAAACTTAAAACTAACATATATTCGACTTGTTCTTTATTCTTTTCTTTCACAGCGTGTTTGGTACGACTCTCCTCCACACTTTTTGTACCATGAAAACTCTAATGGAATGACAGCAAAAGAACTATTTGAAATAAACCACATAGATCTACGAGACAAGGCCGAAAAAGCTTTCAAAGATATGAACAATGGCCTCATGCTTGTTACCGCTCTCATTGGCACAGTCAATTATGCAGCACTCTTCACCCTTCCCGGAGGTTACGATCAAGACAACCAAAGCAAAACCTATGGCGAGCCCGTTCTCCTTATCCGGGAGGATACAGAGGATGATACTGTGGAGTTCTTGTGGTACATATCTATTGCCCTATTTTCTTCCCTATTCGCCTTGGTCGCCATGCTTTCAATTCAGTTGTCACGATTTCGTAGCAACGACTTCTACATAGCCTTGCCATTCAGATATATTGTTGCTGTGATGGCTCTTGCTTGCTCCACAATCTTCACTATCACAGCATGTTTGCAAGCCTATATTCTTGATCGCATATCTTTTAATTCGGATTCTTACATGTGGTCTGCTGGTATTTTGATGGCCCTAGTTTACATAGATGCATTATACCTGACCTCTTATTACATGTTCTTTGTGATTGGTTGTTCATTCGCCTATAAAGGTCAGGAAATGTAGAATTCGTTTGTTTAATTGGTATGTATGTGCAAGAATATCAAAGAATTACTATTTTATATTTGTGACACAATGACTTGTACTAAGATTGTTTGAATTTTTATATTGATTGTAATAAACAGATGTATGCAAGTTTCAATAATACTTGTTCTTCTCACGAGATAAAGTTCATTCACCAAATATTAGTTGAACTGACGGAAATTTAAAGTGCAGTAACTTCTAAAATAATAAATTTCCTCTAAAACAGATTAAAGAATGATGATGTAAGATCAAATTGTGCAACCCTACGAAGATCATTTATCTGTTGAATGAGTGTCATGATATCTATCATGGGACTCTAGGGGTGAGCATGGATTGGTTTTGTATTGTTTAGAGGGGAACCACAAACCAAACGCTACCAGATGTTCCTAGAAATTTGGATAAAATCAAATTGTAAAAATTGTGGAACTAAACTTCACCAAACTTGTACAGTGTTTGATTAAGCTTTGGAACAATTGTTCAAGACAAAAATCAATAACAAATAAACTTGTACAACATATGACACAATGAAAGGACTCATAGATGAAGTTTTAGAAGCAAAGTTGTGAAACTTAAAAAATTAAATATGAATATTCGTACACTTGATTTTTTATGAATAATTTTATGAATACTTTTTATGTATGATTTTATGGATGCGTGTTTGATTTATGAATTTTTTTATGGATGCTTCAAGGAAAAAATAAATCTTTCAATGTACAGCGATGGGGGCCTAGACAACTTTATTGTAGTTTGGCAACATGACACTAGAGTAATCCTATTTGTATAACAATGTATCACTGAACAGACACTTCACAAGTGGCCCAAATTAATTTCTTGTTATCATCTAATTGGACGGCAACATAATGCTGGGAAAAAAATATTGTTCGGTAACATGGCATTGGAATAATTCAAATTAATTAGCGTTGCATTACCGAATAGGCCAACCACAAATTAAAAAATCATTGTTTGGAAGAAAGTGGCTCTATAAATGTATAGTAACAAAATGCTGGAGAGATCTACTTTTTTTGGCAGCATAACACAGGAATAATGTAAATTATTTAGTACCGTGTTACCAAAATTAGTGGTGTAAAGAGATGAAATAGTTAATTTAGGATTAGTTTTGGTAATATATTGGGGGTGTAATGAGAATTACATTTTTTCTAGTGGTGTAATGAGATGGAGGGTGTAAAGAGGTTAAATAGTGGTGTAAGTAGAATCACCCTTTTTTATTTTTCTCAATTTTACGCACGTGTAAAATTACCTTTAAGGATAAAACACTAAAATTAAATATATTTGATTATCTCCTTACACCCCTTAGTCTTCAATCCCTACTCGTCTTCTTCCTTTCTCAATTTTTCTTCTCTCTTACACATCTCTTTTAAAAAAATGAGAATCATAGTATTATGATCATAGAAGAAAACAATGGATGAAGAAACAGTGGTGAAGAACTATAAAAAAAGTGAAATGGTGAGATTTTTTTTTTATTTGTTTGGTAGGTTTTTGTTTCATTTTTATGGATTGTTCTTTGACTTTTGTTTGGTGTTTTGAAATCAAACAAAATAAAATAGTCTGGCATCACATTGCTGAATAAAAAATATATTTCTAGTAACCAACTGCCGAATAAAACATACTTTTTTAGTAACCCAATGTTGAATTTTCTTAATTTGTTCGGCTACTCATTACCGTGTATTTCCAGTTTCATTTTTTTTATATTTTTTCTTGGAAAGATAATACTTCTACTCATTGCAACAATGCAAGTACTGCATTATTAGTGAACTCTTATCATGAATTCATTACAAAAGAAATTTGTTAAGTGTTTTTTTATTTTTTATTTATTAATACGATTTTTTTACGAAACGACAACATATTGCTAGGGAAAAAAAAGTTTGTCAGGTAACATGACATTGGATTAATTCAAATTCATTAGCATTATATTACCAAACAAGTCTGGCACAAATTTAAAAATTATTGTTTGGAAGAAAGTGGCTCTATAAATGTATAGCAACAAAATGCTGGAGAAATCTATTTTTTCCGGCAACATAACATCAGAAGAATGTAAATTGTTTAGCACTGTGTGACCGAACAGGCACTTCGCTGTGGGCTCTACTCACTGTCTTCCCTGCGTCTTTCTTTTTCCCTTACTGCGTCTCTTTCTCTGTTCCCTTATTTTTCCTCAAAAAACTATTAGTGTAAAGAGATAAAAGGGTTTTGAAGAGTCTTACTTTAGGGTTAGTTTTGGTAATATAATTGGTGTAATGAGAATCACATTTTTTTTAGTGGTGTAATGAGATGAAGGGTGTAAAGAGGTAAAGTAGTGGTGTAAGTTGAATGACTAATAAAAAGTGATACATACACACAAAATGTAACACGAAACATTTACATTATGACCAACTATTTAATTATGAATAATGAACTTCTCATTGTTACATGTACTATATTGTTGCAAAAGTTTTCACATATTACTTTTGTAATATTTTATATATGTCAATGTCTAATATATAAATATATAAATGTAAATTGACATATGTTACTGTATTCATACATTGTGAATCTGAAATGCTATATTACCATCGGATACTCTAATTTTCTAACATATATCGCTTTAATAATATAGTTCTATTTGCTAGGAAAAAATTGCTGGATTGTATATTATTCTTCTATCAACTTATATTCAATACATATATACATACATGCCATACAAACAAGTGTCCATAACAAACACTTTTAATAACAAACCAAGATTTTTGCAAAACACCTTTATCACAACAATTATTGTATTTTTTTTCCTTAATAGAAAAATCACATTATTAAGGAAAAATGGATTTTGAAATTCATAACAATATGATATCATCTCAAACTCTTACGCATCAAAATATTTTTATTATAATGAGTTATAATGATGAGTAAGAAGAAAAACAAGAAGATGGTGAAACAAAAACTATAGAAGATCTATTGCAAGTTGCAACGTACTCTGCAAGCAAAGTTAGACGAGTTGAAGCAAAAATTGTCTTATCTATAAGAAAAACAATGTACCTCATGCACACATTTTGGTCAAATTACAAGAAAAAAAAAAAATCAAATGATGCCCAAACATTATCGTAGCAACTTAATGATGCAGAAAATAAGTACATCAAATAAAAAGTTTCAATCAATTTTTGTCATGTGTTGATTACTTATAGATGACATAACTTAGCAATTTCATGAAAGTGACCTACAAACACTTATAAGCACGAATCTATAAATATCGTGAAAACAATTATGAAATTCTTATATTGATCGAAATATTAAGTTACAATATCATTCCATTTTTAAAAAAAAAATTGTTCCACATTTTCTACATAAATAAAAATATACTAATGACTAATGTTATATTTTTCATCATGCAAGATATTCATGGCACAGAAAACGAGACTGAACAACTCTTGGTGTATAAAAATATATTACATATTGATATTAATGCATTCTTACACCAATAGTATGTAAATAATATGCAATAGTGGGTTCAATGAATTTGTATTATGAGATGAACTATTAAATAAAATCGTGTAATTGTATAATTAATTTCATACCTTCAATTGTATTAGAGATATGGATTATGAAAAATTGAAGTGAGAAGTTGATAGAAAACGATTTGTGTAATACTATATATTTAAATGACCTGTTTATTATTTATTCTTTAAGATAAGATTATGGTCTCAATAATCTAGCTATAAAGTGATGTTTATGTTTATAAAATTTCTCATTTATCATTTAAATTCTTCAGCCGAGTATGTATTCATTTATTGCTTAGTTGTATTTTGGATACAGATCAATTTGCCCATACAAATCTCCATACTTTGTATATATATCACATACTAATTTAAGAGACATATATAATTATAATACTAATAGTTGGTAAAAAAATCACATGCCACGTGCCACGTGCCCAACGACTAGTCTATTAAAAAACATATTTTAATACATTGTAAAATGTCAATTATCATAAAATTTATAGTTACGTTCCGTTTGTTTGTACTTTCTCAAATTTTTGGCATTTGGTATAATGAAAGACAAATATTAACAACTGTCCATGACACTTGTAATATTGGGAATGTGAGAAAAAGTCTCTTGAAGATGTATATAGGAGATTAAGATGTGTTTTGAAATTTATAAAAAATTATGTTGAATTTAGTGATAAGTGTTTTGTGATTTATATATTTTTTTGTTCCTTTTTTTTTTTTTTTGGTGCTTTAGAGGCACTTGTTAGTAAGATCCATAACAAAAAACAAGAGTCAATGGAAAATATTTTTTTATAGTTAATGAAAAATAAGTTTATTTAGGCACAAAATATTTTTACTTCTAAAAGGTAAAAAATATTTTTCAGACTAAAATCTTACTAATGCTACCACACCATCACAATTGTTATCGCCATCGCCACCACCACCTTTACCCCGCCTTTGCACGTTGCTGCTACCATCACCACCTCTTCTTCCACACCATCACCACCGCTATTGCCACTACTACTTCTGTCGCCGCCTCTATCACCTCCACCTCCAACTCATTAATATAATCTCTAATACAATATTTTGAAGGATGTAACCAAATATATAAAAAAAAAAAAAACATTTTCTATGAAAAATATTTATAAAAAAAAAGTTTTGTAATTTTTGTTGAAAAATATTTTCTTCTAAAAGAAATGTAACATTATTGTAATCTCATTTCAACTTAAACAAATATAACATTATTGTAATCTTATTTTCACCTTGCCACATATCACACACAATGAATTAGATCAATCCAGTTGTTTACCTTGCACTCTTTGAGTTGGCAAAATCTTTCATTAGCCAGTAATTTATACAACAAAATTGACATTGTATAACGGCATTTCGAAGAGATTTTTAAATGAGACTTGTTAGTTATTATAATTAATATTATTATATTTTAATCGCTCTAATGAGTTAGTTATTATAATAGCTATTTAAACAAAAAATTTTAAAGCTAATTATATTTGAAGAGTTTTGAGAGGATTTTTAAACAGTTTGTATGTATAGATAGGTAAAATAAATAGCAGCATTGGAGTATATAGATTAAAAAAAAAAAGGTAAAATAAAAAATTACTTTTTTTACATTTTAGCTAATAAAAAATGAAGAG